GCGCCGTGCCCGTCCGCAACGAGAAGGGTGAGTGGGGGGGCCGCGGCCGGGGCCGACCCAGCCGTGGCGGCGGGGGAGGGCGCCCGTAGGGCCCCTGGTAACGGCCCGGGCGTCCGCAGGTGAGCTCTCCATGGAGAAGGTGAAGGTGAAGCGGTACGTGTCGGGGAAGCGACCCGACTACGCGCCCATGGAGTCCTCGGAGGAGGAGGACGAGGAGTTCCAGTTCATCAAGAAGGCGAAGGAGCAGGAGGTGGAGCCCGAGGAGCAGGAGGAGGAGCTCGCCAACGACCCCCGGCTCCGGCGCCTCCAGAACCGCATCGCTGAAGACGTAGAGGAGCGGTGAGTGCAGGGGTTGGCAAGGAGTTGTGCCCCCGCCGTGCTCCCCTGCAGGTCTGCCCTTGCAGGGTGCTGGGGAGTCCAGATCCCCCTCTGCTGCAGTGTGGTGAGGAGTTGCCGGAATACCAGGCAAGGGTGGAGAACGTTTTCCAGGCAGTGTGGGAGAGCCTCTGGCTCCTCTCACGTTTGTGCTGCACCATGCCTCAGGCTCCGGCTCTGCTGTGAGCGGCCCTTCCAACCAGGAGTCACCATTTCCCAGGGCATAGCTCCATGACCAGGTGTGGTTGGGGGGTGCAGATGAAAACAGGCTCCAAAATAAAAATTAAAGCAGTGCGCTGGAGCTCAGGGTAGCTGGAAAGGACAGTGACACGTGAAGTGGGCAGGGAGTAACTGAGTGCCATTTGCCTCCTCCCGTGGAGCTGCTGCTGGTTTCGTTTCCAGTAACTGGGAGGCTTCCCGCTGGGAGCTCCGTTCCTACTTGGAGCACGGACAGGGAGGAGCAGCTGACACCTGGCCACTCCAGCATCCTGGGAAAGAACCTGTGGGGTCTGCCCCCACCTGGTAGTTCCAGCGTTTACCATGGCCTCGTTAGGAGCGATTAATGAGTAGTCAACTTCTTGCAGCCTCTTTGTGTTCAAAGTGCCGTCATTTAATTGGGGTCTGTTGCAGGCTGGCGAGACACCGTAAAATCGTGGAGCCCGAAGTGGTTGGAGAAAGCGATTCAGAGGTGGAGGGGGAAGCTTGGCGCCTGGAGCGGGAGGACACCAGCGAAGAGGAAGAAGAAGAGATTGATGATGAGGTGCGCTTGCAGAGCCAAATAATGGGCCTAGGGAAGCCCCTGAATGGCACAGGCTGGAGCTGCCTTTTGCACAGACCTGTGGCTGTCTGGTAGAGCTGGATGAGTGTCACAGCTGGCTGTGACTTCACTTGTGGGTTACTGTTTTCTTGCATGGGACGGGATGCCAGGAGAGGCCACTGTGTGTCTGGAGCGATGGGCATATTGTCTCATAGCCCACACTGCAGACGCTGCACTTTTTGGACAGAAGAGTGAAAGGGAAGTGGTAGCAAGGCTGGTTGTCTGACTCCTCTGTGTTTTTCTCCATTAGGAGATCGAGCGTCGGCGTGGGATGATGCGTCAGCGAGCGCAGGAGAGGAAAACCGAGGAGATGGAAGTGATGGAGTTGGAAGATGAGGGTCGATCTGGAGAAGAGTCCGAGTCAGAGTCTGAGTATGAGGAGTACACGGACAGCGAGGATGAAATGGAGCCACGTCTCAAACCTGTCTTCATCCGCAAGTGGGTGACGCGTGGGTCAGCCCTGGGTGAGGACATGGGAGCTGGGAGCCAAGCAGATGCTGCTGCCGTGGTCTCCTCTTCCTCGCAGTGGGGCGGCAGTTTGCCTCCCCAGGCGGCGGGAGTGACAGTTGCAGCCTGGCAGGGCACAGCAGGCGAGTGAGGGGCGATCCCTGCACCGACAGCTCCATATCAGCCACCTCGGATTGCTGTGGGATCAGGCTGTGGGTTGAAGTCGTAGCAGGGTCTGATGGGAGCCCTTGGGCCAGTGCCGTACGGTGGCAAAGGGAAGCCATTGGCGGGCCATGCCCCACAGCCGGTGGCTTGGTCTCACATTGCTTGCGTGCAGCTGTAGGGGAATGGCTTGGTAGCCCTGGCATGGGTGACGCTGGAAAGGGGCGAGCCCTGAGCTGTGGCCCATCCTTGGAGAGGGCAAAGGCTGAAAGCAGCTGTGGTGCAGGAGGGGAAGTCTGTGAGGAGCTGAGGGGCTGCGCTGGCTCATGGGAGGGCTGACGGCTGTTGTGGTCCCTGCCTGCAGGAAGGACCGGATCACAGTTCAGGAGCGAGAAGCAGAAGCCCTGAAGCAGAAGGAGCTGGAGCAGGAGGCAAAGAGGCTGGCGGAGGAGAGGCGCAAGTACACGCTCAAGGTGCTGAGTGGCGGGCTGGGGGTCGTGCAGGGGGGCAGTTGGTGCAGCAAGCTTAGCTTGGTCCTTGCTGCAGATCGTAGAAGAGGAAGCGAAGAAGGAGCTGGAGGAGAACAAGCGTTCACTGGCAGCACTAGATGCACTTGATACAGATGATGAGAACGATGAGGAGGAGTACGAGGCCTGGAAAGTACGCGAGCTGAAGCGTATCAAACGGGACCGTGAGGAACGGGAAGCGTAAGTATGATCTGTGTAGATGTGAGGCTGAGATCCTGCAGACCCAGGCCCCATGGGCAGTTGAGGTGTCTCTTCCTCAGGCTTCCCTTTGGCAGCATGGTCTTAGACCAAGTGCCCAGAGCCCCTCCTGCCCGCCCTCAGGCTGCCTTTGCTCCCCTACAGAGTCAGTAAATGTATGGGAGGGTGGCTGGCAACAGCAGCTCTTGCGGGCAGGTGCTGTGGGGACACAGGGTCTCAGGGGTTTCTCTCCTGCCCAGCATGGAGAAGGAGAAGGCAGAGATCGAGCGCATGCGGAATCTGACAGAGGAGGAGCGCCGTGCCGAGCTTCGGGCCAACGGCAAGGTCATCACCAACAAGGCAGTGAAGGGCAAATACAAGTTCCTGCAGAAGTACTACCACCGTGGCGCCTTCTTCATGGTGAGTGGTGCTGTGAGGGCCTGGGCACGGCCGCGTTGGCAGCCGGGGCTGGGCCTGCGCACTGACGGGGCTGTGCGAGACCACGGGGACGTTGTCTCCCTGGGGGAAGCCTCCCCCCACGGTGCCCTGGGGCTGGGGAGGCCCTGGGACAAGAGCCGGCCCTCAGAGGCAGCATGGGACTGAAGTGACGGTGGTTATCTGATCTCGGCCAGCTCTCGTAACAGAGGGTGAGCGGTGACACCAACAGGGTGGAAGAGGGTGATGCCATGGTGGCCTGCCAGGTGCTGCCCTGCAGCCGCCCTCGGGAGCCCAAGCAGGACGGGCGCGGTTCCACCTGGAGCCAGCCTGTGCTGCCTCCCCAGAGTATGTTAGGTTGAGGGGTCCCAGCTGAGCTGGAGCCACAGAGCTGTCCCCATGCTGCTGTTTGGGCTGACAGACGCACTCGGAACTGAGCCAGTTCCACATGGGCTACAGCCCGGGCTCTGGAGAAGTGGCCCGAGGGGCCATGAGGGTGGCTGCCAGAGGCAGGCCTGGGGGACAGTGCTCGCATCCCCCACCTTCGGTAGTAGGTTAATAGGACTGCAAGCACCATGGCAGCCCCCAGCAGAGCAGCGATATGGGCTTCTGGTGGCTCTCCCCCACTTTGGCATGCTGCTGGCACTCGCTGGAAACTTGCCCGCTGAGCAGGTGTGTCCCTCTCCTGCAGGATGAGGACGAGGAGGTGTACAAGAGGGACTTCAGTGCCCCGACCCTCGAGGATCACTTCAACAAGACCATCCTGCCCAAAGTCATGCAGGTGGGTGTCCTGGCCAGAGGGTGCCTGGCCCGCATGCTGTGCCAAGGGGTTGCGGTTCCTCGGTGGGAGCAGGGGGGAGCAGTGGCTCCCCATGTCCTCCCTGGGCGGCCGCTCACAAGCTCTTCTGCTCCTCAGGTCAAGAACTTTGGGCGTTCAGGGAGGACAAAGTACACGCACTTGGTAGACCAGGATACCACCTCCTTCGACTCCGCCTGGGGCCAGGAGAGTGCGCAGAACACCAAGTTCTTCAAGCAGAAAGCAGCGGGCGTACGGGATGTCTTTGAGAGACCCTCGGCCAAGAAGCGAAAAACCACTTAAGGGACCGGGCAGGAAGGCATGGCGCGGCTGACGGCCAGGCAGGAGGGCACTTCTCTGCCAGCTGCCGGAGCCTGGGCAGGGACAGGAGGGACTGAGCGCTGTGTCAGGACTCATGTGGTAACAAGCCCTTCCTCTGCCTGTGCCACGCCTGCTCTGTCAACGCAGTGCCCTGCTCCCGGCGCTGCCAAGACCCGGCGGGCTCCCTGCCCAGGCGCTGTGGAGGACAATGGCCTGTCCGTGCTGGCCAGGCCCGTGGCCGCCCTGAGGCTTCGGCAGTGCCCAACAGGGCTGTTGGGGAGCGCATCAACGCCCCTGGCTCCAGTGCACCCACTTTGGGAGGAATTATGAGACTTTCATACCTGTCTGGGCCACAGCATCTCCCTATTGCTTGTACCTTCCCCCTTGTCAGTTTGGGCCCTTTTTCAGTGCAGAACAGCGCTGACCCCGTTTCTGCAGGGCTTGGCTTTTCTACCGGGGGGGGGGGGGGGGGGGCGGGGTGGTTTGATTAAAGCAGTTGTTTTCTTACACATTTTGGCTGTGGACTGCAACTGTCCCATTCTGCGCTTTCCTGTGAGCCAGGATGGGCTGGCGCAGCCTGGGAGGCACTGCACTGGCCTGGGCATGGCGTGTGAGGGCAGCCATCACTGTGCCTGGCTCACTGGTGCTCCCTTGTGCCCGGGGCTGCACTGCGCTCCCCGAGGACGGGAGAGGTGAGGTTCCTGCCATGGCTCCTGGGCCACAGGAGGTTAAAAGCAAGAAGAATGGCGCATCTCGGTGCTTGGGCAGGTCACCTTATCCTGCTCTGGTCACGGGGGTGCTGGGGCACTGCCAGCACAATGCCGCATGTCTTCCCACAGGCTGGGCCCTGCTTGTCAGCACCGCGTGCCTCACGGGACCCGCTGGGCAGGTGCCTGGCACTGCACGGATCACAGCGACAGCCCACTCCCACCAGTGCCTTTATTAGGTAAGGGAACACACCGCGTCTCCAGCCAGCCCTGCATCCAGTGAGGGCGTGCGCTCATCCAGCAGGCCCGGCGCTCAGTTGGTGAGGGTGATGAGTGCTTCCACCACGTTCCCCATGTGCTCCCGCAGGCTGCGCTCTGCAGCTGCCCGTGAGATCTCCATCTCGGTCATCTGCAGGGAAAGAGCCGCAGCCCCTGCAGCAGCCACAGAACAGCACAGTGGGGGCCGCCGGGCCCCAGCACCGCAGGCCGGTGCACACTAGCTGGGGCCTGGGGTGCAGTTTCAGTGACTGGACGCCGGCTGTGCCCCAAGGCCCGGGATGCACCACTGGCGTCCAGCCCGGTGTCCTGCCCTACTCACGATCAGTTCCAGGTCCTCCTTCTTGATGGTCACTTTCGCCAGTTCCTTCTCCCTATGGCGAGAGACAGACAAACCTCCGATGACCAATGGCCCCCCCCCACCTCCGGCTGCTGAGGTGGGAGCAATCCCTCGCAGCAGCGCGGGGTGTGCTGTGCTCTCGGAGGCGGCCGGTGCCCAGGCCGGGCTCCGAGGGGCAGCCCAGTGCGGGAGGGGTATGGACCGGACCAACCCCCGGAGCGCCGAGCCAGCACGGGCGGTTGGTTACCTCTCCTGCTTTGCTTTCTGCTCCCGGGACCTCCGGTCTCCGATCACCGACATGGCCTGCCAGGACGAGCGCAGTCACCGCGCTGCGCGGCACCGGGCGGGTCAGCGCCGCGACCGGCGGGGCGGGCACCGGGGCGGCCGTGCAGGAGCGGTGCTCGGGGCCCGGCCCGGCGCCCCCGCAGGCA